CAACGCGGAGGGGGAAAGAAAAAGAGAGAGAGAGAGAGAAAAAAAAAAAGAGAGAGAGAGAGAGAGAGAAAGAGAGCCGGAAAAGGGAGGATTTTTATTTGGACGCGGGCGGACGACTAGTCTTAGCTCCCTGCAAAGCCGACGAACGGCGAGGGGCCCGAAGGCCGAAAGGGACGAGGGACGGACCCCAGACCCAAGACAGAGCCGACCGAAGGGACCGACCGAAAAGACAAGGTACCGAAACCACGAGGGCCTCAGGCAGCACGCAAGCAGTGCAAACTGCTGGTACCGTTTCTTGGGACGGATTCAAACTCTGGTCCTCGATGGGAGAAAAGGGAGGAGGAAGCGAGGAAGAGGAAACGAGGAGATGGAGAAGAGCGAGAAAAGAAGGAGCGAGGAAACGAGGAAGAAGAGGAAGAAGAAACGAGGAGGAGGCGAGGAAGCGAGCAGGAGGAAACGGGGAGGACGCGGGGACGAGGACACGAGGAGGAGGAAAGGGAGGGAGAGAGCGAGAGAAAGGGGAGGAGGAGACGAGGAAGGGGGTGGGGGTGGGGGGGGGGCACGCAGATGCCCGCCTTGCGCGAGGCCCGCGGCCCCCCCCCCGAGGAGCGGAGCGGCGGCCCCGTGGGCCGCGTGCTGGGGCCACGGCGGGACGAGGCTGCGAGCGGGGACCGTGCGGGCGCCAGGCACGCCTGAGCTGACGCTCGACCAGGGCAGCGCGGCTGCGCGGCAAGGCTGCTGACTGCCTGCCAGACCACCCCAGCCCAGCCCGAAGACCCGAATTTCGGGCTGGGGGGGGGGTAAGGGTTCCACATGTGTTTTTTCGATGATTCCCGACCCCCCCCCCCCACTGGAAATCGAGGGTGAATCTGAGCCTTCGGGTTGGGTTGGGGTGGTTTGGTGGGTGGTGAGCTGCAAGGGCCTGGGGGACGCCATGCTGACGTCTGCCTTGCGGGGCGCAGCAGCACGCCGAAGGATGCCGGATGCCGAAGGGGCAAGGATGCAGGGGCAGCCTTGGAAAAGTGCCCCGTCCTTACCATCATGGCTGACTGTAAGACACAATGCAAACACGAACGAACAAGGAATTGCAGCTATAACGGAAACGAATACTCAGAAGTCGCCTGGCGAAGGACCCAAGCATTCGCAGATGTGAACACCGCAACTGTAGGTATCGTCTCCAGTGGAGCCCCCTCAAAGGGCCACGGAACGCTGTACTGGGTGGGGGGGACGCATGGGGACTGCGCCTTTGGGGCTTCTCGGTGGAACTCCCGATGGGGCCACGGAGCGCTGCACTGGGTGGGGGGAACGCATGGGGTTGTGGATGGTGTTGCGCCTGAGGCGCTGTTCAAAGATCATGATGGTGCAAAACTGTATGACACATTACATGTACATGTCAATCACGAGACTGTACAACATGAGCCCGATCCTCTGGTCATCCGTGCTCCCTTCATGGAGGAATTTGAAGACAACAAACAGAGCTCGTGGCCTGCGGTGTCCGCCCTGCCGGGTGCGAGAACATGAACGAAGACAGGACGACCGCCTCCGTCACGCCCGGCACTGGGCCGAAAAACGAGCCCGTAGCTCGCGACGGCGCCCCGCGTCGTGGGGCCCCGGGGGGGGCATGCGCCCTTGGCGCCCTGGGGCCCCGCCGCATGCCTCACTGCCTGGGGCCGCTCTAGCCCTTTGCCTTTGCCCTTGCCCCGGGAGGAGGCTGGCTTGAGCTGCTTCTTCACGTGCTCTCATATAGCTCCTCCTCGTTGTCCGTCGCGCACTGTCGCAGGGAGGCCACCTCCGGAGGCCCATCCTGGGTGGGCAGCTTCGCGGCCTGGATCAAGTCACGGGGCCCCTGGCCAAGTCCGCGTGCGTCAGGGTCCACTTCCACGGCCGGTCCGCCGTCGGCGCGGCGAACTTCGAGGCGAACGCGCCCACCGACGCATCCACGACGTCCGCGGCCATGTCCTCCAGGGTCTGGACGGCGCCGCGGAGCGAGAAGATTCTCGCCTTGAGGTCGTCGCCCTCCGCGTCCTCCATGATGTCGGCAAGGAGCTCTCCGATATTGTCCCTGAAAGAGGTCCACATGAAGATCTTCTTATACGTGTATTCAAACTTGCGGGCTGTGTCGGTCTTCGTATTCTTCTCATGGTCGGCTTTCATCTCCTTGAAGGCCCTCCATTTCTTGTGCCAAGAATCAGACATCTTTGGAGCCATCGTCCCTGATGACGAAAGCCAGCTGCTTGCTCTTCAATATCCCGAAAGAGCCTCTCTTGTAGTGTCGAGGCCGTCGCGGACGAGGGCGACGGCGGCGTGCTGGTCCTCGGATGCCTGGCCGCTGCTGCTCCCATGTGTCGCGGGTCGCCCCGGCCCCCGGAGGCCGAAGAGAGTCAGACACCCCCCGTCGTGCTCTGTTCCACACCGCCAGGCGGGGGCCCGGCCTCCTGCTCCTCCTCCTCCTCCTCCTCCTGCTCCTCCTCCTCTTCCTCCTCCTCCTCCTCTCCTCCTC